ACATCGGAGTTGATTCTTTTTTTTTACCGAGATTATATATGATTAATCTTAGATAAATGATGGCGTGGTAGACTATGACATTTGTGTCTCAATTCGTCAGTATGAACTTTATAATGTTGTTGTAAGATTGTGAATTGGAAAAGAAAATAAAGAAATATGTATAGATGATACATTACCTTTCTGACATTAAAGAGGCAATACATTTTGATCTGATTGAAATGCACGACTGAAGTGGTTGTTTTCGCTTTTTGATAATTTCATGCTTCAAAAATAAATTGTAACATTTAAATCGCACTGGTAGGAACAAAGAGCTAGTGCACTGATGTAAGATAAACATCTTCCATTAGACAGATGTTTTTCCCATAGTTTTCTTCCATCCAATTATCTGGTGAAGATGAATTCTGTTAATTATAACTATTCAATATGTATTTAAACTTCAAGATAAAGCACGAACATTCAACTTTATTCAGCAACAATGAAAGACAGACATCACAGAAAGGAGTAGTCCGCATAAGGCATAAGGCTTGGAATCGGTCCACTAAATTCTTACTACTTTATAAAGTAGTAAGAATTTAGTGGACCGATTCCAAGCCTTATGCGGACTACTCCTTAAAAAAAATTGTCAGAATTAAATTTATAACGAACAAAAAGTTGATCTGGAATAAATGCATTTGATTTAACTAAGACATGAAATAAAAAAGCACATAAATACTAATCTCTTCTGTAAAACCTCTCTATTTTGAACACCATCGGGACTGAAAAAACCGTTCACTATACGGAGGTGTTCACGGCCGCTTTTCGGTGGTAGGCTTCATCACCGGCCGCTTTTTCGGTGGTAGGCTCCGCTGATCTAATACCTAATGTTGTAATCGTACTTAGACGTTGATCATTAGTATTTGTGGCAGCAGATGGAATTCGTACTGGTACTGTAGGTGGGCGTGCAGCGGCTGAATCAGCTACAGGTAGAACAAAACTCTTGTTAGAAGAATTATTGAAGAATCGATGTCTTTTTACTGTCACACCTGTTCGTATTTGAGAGGGCTGATAGACCAGTGCTGATGTTGGTTGCAGGTAAGTATGTTCAGTTTGAACTTCAAACGATAGAAACAACAGGGATTAAAGAATTAGTCTGTGTTTTTATTAATAAGACAAAACTAACCTGTGGGAGGGGCTGTTGCTGATTGCACCGTTTCCTGTTCATCTAAATCGCTTTGATTTTCTTGATCTTTAGTTATTGTTGAAATATTTTGTTCATATTCAGTAGAGTTTTCACAACTATATTCTTCTCCTTAAGAACCAAAAAACCACACTTCTTGCTATACAATGGCGAGCCGATTTAGCAGGGAGTGTCAAGAAGTTTATCGTATAATAAATATAGTTTAAACCAACCAAAAAACCATGATTTGTGCTACGCTACTTATGTGTAAGTTTAGTCATATTTAATACAAGGGTTTAATTTCACAACAATCAGAAAACAAACTTCAGTATTATACTAACCTTCTTGCGGTAAATCAGGTATTGATGGTGGTTGTTGGCGATGTGCATTGATGTCATTGTGCGGTTCTTCTATAGTCGTTATTCGATTCTGAGGATAAAATGTCTGCTGTGATGAATCTGGGTTTTCTCCGGCTTCACATAACGGTTTGTTCTCGTCCGCATCAACATCTTTTTCAACATAAAAGATGTTATCCCACTTCAGAAAACCACATTCCAAATCTTCTTTATCATGTGTTTGATATAATTCCAAAAGATATGTATCGACCGATATTTTGTTATTGAATGACATTAATTCTCGTTCATCTTTATACAAACCTTTTGATAATCTGCCCTCGTCTGAGTCAAATTCACTATCACTGCTACTAGTTGTTTCTTTGTCGGACTGATGACCGTCGAAGTTCAAGACCTGAGTGCTAGTGGCTATACCTGAAACGGGCTGTCTTTGCTGTTGTTGTCGTTTTGATTTTTCTAACTGTCGTTCAATAGTACGTTGCCGTCTTGTTCGTATTTTCTCTTGTGTTTCGTACCTTATACGTCGTTCAGCCATATTTCGTTGAAAACTCTCACTACGGTTATCACTGATTTTATATGCAACAAAATCAACTGAATTTTTAGCTTCATATAAATCTCGTAACTTTTTAGCTGTTTCTTGTAATTGTCGATGTATGTCATCAATTTTAATATTAGCCATTTCAGTAATTTCTTTATCAGACATTGCACATATTCGATGTTCTAATGGACCATCGATAATTGTTGATTCATAACCAACAATTTCTTTTGCTACATATGCATAAAAATTCATATTTATATCACGCATTAATAAACCACGTATCGCCGTATAAATTTCCACTAGGGCATCGCGAGCGTTTTGATGATGTTCAGCTGTTCGTTGATCACGATAACTTTCAAGAAATTTTTTGGCACCGTAAATTGTACTTAAAATGTTCGGTGCTGGAATATTTTTAAATATATCGAATACTGTAATTCCGCTATTATCACTATTTTTACTGCCACCAATTGTTATACTCGTTATTTTCTGTTCAAATGATCCGTGATCAAGTTTTGCGGGTATGCTAGCTGCTAATTTCCTTAGGCCATCACAAATATCATGTACAACATAAACAGATTTAGCATAACGACAACTTTTTGTTGACAGAACAGCTTGTCGAATTAAATTTCTCGTTGTTTTATGATATTCCAAATCAACAGCACCCAAAAATTTAATATGACTATTTAAATATATGAAGTGTTCTTGTTTTAATAATTTTTCTCGTACATCTTTAGCAAAATAATCTGCTAGAAATGAATGCATTTGTGTCAACCAACAAATACCGCTAACAAACGTTTCACGTATCCAGATATAGAGCATTTCTCGAACAGCTTTTTCTGTATGTTGATGATCACTCACACCACCATATAACAGCGTTTCAAATGACGCAATACAACCACGTGGTAACTCTTCTGGCACATATGATAAGATCATATATTCAAAGATTTCTCGAAGACGTTGAAAATGTACATTACCAATATAACCTTCATTCAATGTAGGTAAACGTTCCGTTGGTGATTTTTGTTCAAGTTCATCAGCTGTTAAGTATGCTCGCCATGTCAGTGGTTGTTTTCGTGGCCACACATTATACGCCTGCTCCATTTGTTTGTATGTTCGAGCATAACGTTTATGTGGAAACAATGGTACTATTTCAGCCTGATATGCGGCATATGAACTAATTGTACTACGAAATTCTTTTATATATTTAGCATAGTTTTGTCGAACAAGTTTTGGATTTTGTTGTTCTAAATTTATTAATGCTGCATTGTATGTTTTGGTTGCTGTTTGAATTAAACCATCCAACACTTTTTGAGGTCGAGGAAGTGCAGCGCGAAATGCCTGTGGAAAAGGATGATTAGGGTAGTGAAAGTGTTACCTTCTTATGTTTCACAAAATATCTAGTGCTTTTAAAATATACTTCTGTGGACAAACGGTAAATCTGCTAAAGGACGTAGATTGCATAACACTAGATGTGCTTCTAATGAATTATCTGCTCTTTCTCCCTTAGTGTAAATAAAACATAATTTAACTTTTGAAATTAAATTTAAAGAGTCTATTTAGGACGACACCATGGGGAGCAACTAAAAACTGAAAACCACTGCGGGCGTCAAGTGAGGATGCATGTGGACATTAGGTGAAAAACGAAAGTGAGATTTTTCGAGATCTGAATAGCAGGTCATATACTTCGATAAACGCTCTATCTCTTTACCATCGGAAGGTTTTTTCTAAGTGCGAACCTTAGTGGGAAAATCGCTGAGGAAAATTGAATCGAAAACAGAGTGATAAAGATACAAAAACTATTTCTGTCACAGATGAATACGATATTTACAAAATTTATACATAGGGCAAAACTAGGCCTTCCACTCTGTCTATTCATAAAAAAAATTTCTTGTAGGACGCTTTATAACCGAGAAAATGATTTTTCTTTCTTTGCTAAGTGGTTTTCCACGAAGTGATCTCAGTATACTGAGTGTACGAAGGTAAGTGAAGCTTCAAATTCCATGAAAGCTTTACCAGAGATACATCTACTACCAATACGGATATGCTATAGCGCAATTGCTCCTGGACGGAGGTATAGGTTTTCCAGAAAAACATGGGTTTTTGACATAATTTCAAGTTTTCTCTTTTAGGAAGCATGTGTATTGAAAAATAATTGACATATTGGGAAAAAATCTGCATCGAATGGTGTATAATTTCAAACAATTTTTCTTAGAAAAATGCTTTGATCAAACTAAATCGTGGTATAGGAGCATTATAGCAGCAAATTTTGCATAGGTATTTAGATACTCATTTTAGCAGCGGGGCGAAAGTGGATAAACACGTTTTTACAGCTTATCGAATATGCTCTTCCTATGGAATTCTCGACATCCCAAACTATTTTTTTATGTATTTTCTGAAGATCCGGTCTTCCGAAAACCCAGAAACAATTATTTTTGGATGTCGAGAATCTCACCATTGGGAAGAACATATCCGAAAACCTATAAAAAACGTGTTTATCGACTTTCGTCCCACTTCTACAGCATATGTCCGTATGCCTAGTCAGAATTGCCAACTGTGGGATGATAGCAAGAGAAGCTTATTTTTTTCTAAGCACCTTATGACAGCTACGTTGTTAACGATGGTCTGTATTGAAAAAAACATTTTTCACATAAACGGTGCCGCCGTCCGTCAAAGACTCCTTAGACTACATTAGGGTGTCTTCGATAAAGATGCAATCGATAAAACTGGCCTTTTAAAGGTTTGTATCAAAATAGCCCGTTTAGCACACTCTGGAGTGTTACACCACAGGGTTAAGCTACTATGTTATTTTCTTTAGCTGATCAAACCATTCGAGTGACTGACAAATGAAATAAGTTTCATTCTATGTTTGACGTTATATGAAACATTGCTATTTGCTCTTTCTTCTGTTATGCTGACACAACTTTAACTTGTTTTTCTTTCTTTCTATATGAAGGTGACGCATCGTTCGAACACTTAGTATGAAGTTGTCACATTATTAAGCTCACTTTTTTCACCTAAACGGCTCATTTTTATAAGTAATAAGGAATTGATGTCGCCCTTAACGGTATGCGGAATGTGAAAGGAAGAAAAGCTTCAATAAAACTTACTCTAAGCCACAGTTCTTGTATTTGTTTTCGTACCACGTCGATACCGATCAATGGACGATAGGCTTGATTAAATAATAGATATTTGGAATTTGATTGTCGAGCTAAGTTGTTGAGATTGTTAATCCATGTATCAACTTCATGTTTTTCTAGTTTGGGCAGTTTGGCAATGTAATCAATATTTTCTTCATATAAATGACTATCAAATGTATAACCACCAAATATCATATTAACAAAATATGTTTGTTTATAAGCATTCAGCCGATTTTGTATTTCTTTGTTTGCCAATGTTCCATTTGTATGTTGTTGCATAAAACCATCAAATTTCGTGTGTATTGTGATTGTATGATCAAGATAGTCGTATCTCGGTGGTAGCTTTGAACCACACGGAGCTGGGTCTCTTGTACACAGTTCTTGAATTGTTCGTATACCATGTGCATTTAATTTCAGTTGTTCAGCTGTTTTCACTTGAACTATCATAAATTTCGGATTGCGCACATAATGTTCCGTAATTCGTTCGACAGCTTCACGATGTTGTGTATTAATAGCACCGCCAACAAGACCCGGAACATCTAAGACTTCAAAATCTGTGTATTCTTTACTTTCAATTTCAATCACATATGGTTCCAGACGGAAACCACCTGTCTGACTGTACATTTCTTTGAATTCATCCATTTTCATTTTTAAGTGTTCTGCTAACTCGGGTGCTTCTAGCCCAGCTGGCTGTATAAAGTGAATTTCACCATCAGCTAAATTTGGATTGTAGCGCAAACGATATGTAACTGGACAACGTGTTGCTACATCAGCTTGTGAAAATGAACATGGAAATCGTAAAAAGTATTGTATCAACATTGATTTACCCGTTGATGTTTCACCAACAAAAACAATTTGTGGTACATCCAGTTCATTTTCTAAGTGATATTTCTGAGCCGTATCACGAAGTCTTGTATAAGCATCGAACATATCACGATCCAGTATTTGAATTGAACCAGGTGAATAATGGTTTTCCTATCGCTCTTCTTCATTTTGCGTTCTAACAGATTGCAAACTATTTGTGACAGTTTGTTGCGAATCTGACATTTTTCCTTTAGTTTGTTTGAATAAAGTGAAGACTATAGTTGCTACTGTTTAGATTTATATAGGCTGTGCAGTGAACTCGTAGTGGCAAAATCCAAAATGATGATTATAGTTCTCTATCAGTGGCATGGAATTTTCTTTTTTGTCATCGATTTTTCAACACATCACCTGTTTTGCATTCTTTCTTTATTAAAAAACATTTAAATTTGCTCTCGCATATTTGTCTTTGGGAATCATACTTCCGTTTCTTTTCTTGTATTACTTTTATTATTTATAGAAGGAAGAAGGAAAATTCCAATACTCAAATGAATTTCTCTATCACTAAAGTTACTTGCGAAAAATACCAGAACTCTTTTACAACTTCATTCTAATGTTTGCCATTTTGACACAGATGCATTGCTCTTGTCTTGCTTGTTTATTACAAAATAGAAATCAATTTCATCGTGATGGTTCCATACATCTTCCTTCAAGTAATGAAATATGTTATGTAATATCCAAAGGCAAGGCCTAATCACATATTTTCAGAGTGATGTTGAAAATCTTTTTCCACATTAGGTTTTTTAGAGGATCTTTGGAAGAACAGGTCATACATTAGAAAATCTGGTGAAGCTCCACGCCGGATCAAACTTGATGAAACAAGGTAGTATATGCAGAATTTAAAAGCGAATCCCACAGTGGTCTTCTTTTTCTTTCATTCTGAGTTTCTCATCGGATCGCCATAGTCTGTACAATTTTCCATAGTAAATTTCAGGCATTCTTTCCCTTCTATCGTCTTCTTTTCCGTGTTTTCCTTTTCTTTGTTTCTGCACGCACATTTTTGTCGTTTATATAGGAGCTATTGTACGAGAAAAGCGACAGATTGCTATAAGACCATGATCAATCAATGTCTCAGGTTTGCTTCTAACTTGTGCTGTCTTGTTCAGCATGTGTAAAAACCTACAAATCCAAATTTTGAGCCTTCTAGGGCGTTTACTTTCTGAGTTCTGAACGGTTTTCTAGAGTTCGCTCGATGAAAAATTCAGCGTCCAAAAAATGGGGATCAAAAATAAAGATACTATTTCTCCGTCAAGACAAGTGATGGAAGAGGGATTTTTTCATCCTGTGTAGTGGATGAAAAAAAATGAAGGAGAATCATTAGTGGTTGGATAAGGTTGAGTGGTGCACTGTGAATAAGTAGTAACGGTCGCTCCTGGTGGATAAGGATGAGGTTTACTATCTTGTGTTGTTATATAGGAAAATTGGAATACCCTACAAAAAGTTTAGTATTATGCACATTTCAGTACAATTTGTATTTTAAAATTAACGACTAACCTGGTACATTATTCCGTGCATCAAATGAGGCAAACGAGAATTGTATTTCATTTTGTGATGATTGTGGTAGATTTACTAATGACGCGTACGCTATTGTAATAGGGTTAGTAATTATTACTGTAGTAAGTGTGGAAGAAGTCGAGATGGCTGTGGCTGATGTAATTAGACCATTAATGGCAGTGAGTGTTAATGGAGTATCCGTAATTGTCATTAGATCTGAAATATAGACAACAAAGTGGGATATAAAGTCTCAAATTTCTGCTATAAAAGATACCATCTGAATCGGATAATTGTATCGTTGTCTTTCTTCTTCTATTAACAGAACATTTCGGTGTTGATGATATTGGGGTTGATATCACTTTAGTTGATTGCACTTTTAAGTTCTTTCTCCTTCATTTGTCTGTAAGCTTCCCCACCTCTTAATAACTGACCAAATTGCCTATTTAAAACCATTATTTTTGGTGCCGGTTGTTCGATAATAGGTGGTCGCATCGTGCGAAGAGCATTTCTGAGGACAGTTGTTGGGCTTAATGATGGAGACGGTCGAGACACACATACAACTGCACTATTGTCGGTAAAAAAAAAGAATAGACTCGGATGTTTTTTGAATAACGTTGAACAGAAATGTGGTAGATGCTTCCGGTCTTCACTAATCGAGAGCAAGGCTCTAACTCCATCTTTTCATAATAAAAGTTATTTTGAAAATCTTTTCTTAAAGCAGGTTTTTCAGGAGATCTTTGGAAAACCAGGGCATTGCTCAAAAACTTGAAATACAATTGATTTAATTGTTTTCGTAGATACATAGTCCGAAGTGTCCTCTTCAAAATGGGAGTCAAGCGAGACTCTCATATGTGAGCGCTTAGGCTTGGCATTGAATTTTCTGGGAGGTTCAGAACTGGTCTTTTCTCACACGTGGGAATATCACAAATGACTCTAGACAGGGGTTATCGACCATGTTGAGTCTCGTGGTAGTCTCTGTTTAACGATTTAAAAACGTTTTTACATATGAACTATCGGCACCTGTACTCAGCCTAAGCTGTTATAACTACTATACTACCTCAAAACTACTCCACTTTATTTTTTGCTTCATTTTTTGTTCTTATCATTATATAGACATTTATCCTAAAAAATGATACAAACTGTAAAAGGGCACGAGAATGAAGTCAGAAAGAAAAGAAGGAATGTAGTATGAATAAACTTCAAGATAAAGCACGAACATTCAACTTTATTCAGCAACAATGAAAGACAGACATCACAGAAAGGAGTAGTCCGCATAAGGCATAAGGCTTGGAATCGGTCCACTAAATTCTTACTACTTTATAAAGTGATATGAACAAGGTAATGTTTCTAGTAATCAATTTTGTTTCTAATGAAAAAGATGGTCCATCGATTCCACTAAATATTGTCACTGAACGCCTACAGTTGGTGCTCGGTGTTTTACACAGTACCATATTCAATTTGAAAAAGAAATGAAGGATATTAAGAACGAAGCAACCAACGCAGCTATAATAAAACGTCGATCATCACCGACGATAACTACAACTGGTAGTTTCTCCGCATCTCAACTCGAGACTCCGATGCCACATTCTCCAACGACATGAAATTTCGGTCGACATGAAATTCGCCTGTCAGAATACGGCCAAGATATGATTAGATATCATTTCCACCTATTACTCGCTGAGAAGGAATATCCAACATTGGAGAAACTATTGGGGCGGTTACGAGCTGATTTTTCTGATTTTCCGATCCACAGCAGACCAATTTTATCCAAAGATATGAAAGAAATTGGATTTATCTATGTCAAAACATCAAAAGCTACCGTTCCGTTAGATTCGGCGTTTTTTATCGCTCAGCGGGCACATTATTTGAGGAAACTTAAACCAATAAGTGCAATGATAAGTAGTGCAGGTTTTATTTACCATCAGTTGATATTTTTGAATGTAATGAAGTGCACAGTATGGATTCAAGTCGTTTTGTTAAATGGCTTTGGGAAACTTCGTGTACATTAAGAGGTGAAAATGGTAAATGACATAACTGAGCAAGGTTTCAGTGAATCTAGAATTACAGTACTGTTTTATATTTAGGTGACGCTAAAATATGCATCATTATTGATAATGCCACATGGCATAATGAGCAGACAGATGAGACAAAATTACCAAAGCGAGCATGGAAAAAGGCAGAGATTGTACAGTGGTTAGATGATCACAAGGTGCCTTATTTGAACTTGTATACCAAAGCAGAATTACTCGAGCTATCAGTTGCTTATGCACCAGAAAAGAAATTCAAAATTGATGAGGCGGCGAAAGAATTCAGAGTTGAGATTCTACGATTACCGATAAAACATTGTGTTCTCAACCGCATAGAATTAGCCTGGACCGAGCTCAAAGATTTAGAATATGACACAGATGGATAACAGTTTCACTTCATTCATGTTTATGCAACATTCTACTGGTTTAAAATAAAGTGAAGTACTTTTGAGGTAGTATAGTAGTTATAACAGCTTAGGCTGAGTACAGGTGCCAACAGTTCATATGTAAAAAGGTTTTTAAATCGTTAAACAGAGACTATTACGAGACTCAACATGGTCGATAGCCCCTGTCTAGAGTCATTTGTGATATTCCCACGTGTGAGAAAAGACCAGTTCTGAACCTCCCAGAAAATTCAATGCCAAGGCTAAGCGCTCACATATGAGAGTCTCGCTTGACTCCCATTATGAAGAGGACACTTTGAACTATGTATCTACGAAAACAATTAAATCAATTGTATTTCAAGTTTTTGAGCAATGCCCTGGTTTTTCAAAGATCTCCTGAAAAACCTGCTTTAAGAAAAGATTTTCAAAATAACTTTCATTATGAAAAGATGGAGTTAGAGCCTTGCTCTCGATTAGTGAAGACCGCAAGCATCTACCACATTTCTGTTCAACGTTATTCAGAAACATCGGACTCCATCCTGTTTTTTACGCACAATAGTAACGTACACTTCCATATATAACACAATTGTAAATGAAATTAAAGATCTAATTATAAATTATTTTAGTGAAAAAATAAATCTGCTCACTTTCCGCACAACTTTGAAAACTCATGAGGTCGAAATAGTGGAAGGTTTAAGAGAGGTTTCGAGAGTTGATCTAGCAGTAAGCAAGAGAGCTGACACAGAGTCAAAAGAAAAGTTATTATGTCGACGGCCCTTATGTATTTTTGCTGTGATTTTTGTTTCCTTTCGTTTTGTTCAGTCAAACTTTTTGCACAATGTGCATCGAATGATCTCGAGAACTACGCAACGTAGAAAAGTTCTGAAATCAGGAAGTATTTCTACTAGTACCGAAGATTGACTAACAGGTGTTCTTTTTTCAAAATTCGTCTTCCATCTGGTGCCACGTGGATCGGAAAGTGGTATAGAATTTTCTTTCGACTTAGAAATGTTTTGAATACTCATTAAGAATACAGATTTCAGAATTTTAGAAGAGAGAGATACCTGTTAGTCAATCTTCGGTACTAGTAGAAACATTTCCTGATTTCAGAACTTTTCTACGTTGCGTAGTTGTCGAGATCATTCGGTGCATATTTTTATCACGGTTGCAGAATTGTGCAGCTATAAGATATCTAAACACAGGTGAGTATTGTGTACAACAATACATATTTTTAGTAAAACTGTATGTATTGTTGTACACAATACTCACCTGTGTTTAGACGTCTTATAACTGCACAATTCTGCAACCGTGATAAAAATGACAAAAATCCTTCCTTACATTTTCGATTATCTCTTAATTTTACGGTAGTTTCACTTTTTTTCTCCGTCAGTTATGGTTAATTGTTATCCTAACTTGATGTTCAACTTCGTGTCTGTATTTCATTGAATTTCAGGCTAGCAACATTTTCATTGTACTTTTTTCAATTTCTTAACAAATTTCTATGTACATACGTCTTGACAAGACTTTTCGTTCCTCTCACCTCTGTCTTCACTACCCAATCAAATGTGCTTGCAATTCCATCATTAACATAGCAGGGGACAATACATAGAAACTAAATGTAATCAAAGGAAATTTCGCACGAATAAAATCTGATTGCACTAAAATAAAAGATCAACGGATAGATGAAACAAATGGCAGATAATGAGCTTATTTCGCTGGTTTCCGACGGGGTGGAATCTCGTTCTTAAGTCGTTTCTCCAAAATACTTCATAGCGCTGACAACTTGAAAGTCTGTAAAACTCAGTTGACAAAACAATAAAAACGATCTCTATTAGAAACTAGCATAAACGATTTTCTGTTGAACAAATCCGTTTCCATCTTTCCGTCTATAACCTTGCTCCCGAAGTATTCAAACAAAAAGCTGCTTCATTTTATTATAGGTTTCTGAAATCTTATGACAGAAATCAGATATAACGCGAGAAAAGTCTGTTTATTGTTAGTGATGATCAACATTTTCTGAAAATCACATTTCGGTCAAGTGGATATTAAAGGACAGTTTTCCGCTCTAGTGGGTGCCTGTTCAAAACAAATGTATCTGATTTATTCAAATTGTTTTACATTAGCGGTGTGTTTTTTATATTTGTGATAGATATATACTTGTATTCAAAATAAAATAAAATTTTACTTTTCATTCAGCTTTATACGTATATCAACCATTGTTTACTCGTTATCCGTTAATAAAAATAGAACAGAATCATGGGCATCAAATGTACAGATAGAAACAGTTAAGTAGAGTTAAAAGAGAAAAATTATAAATACTGCTGATTATCTTATGCGGATATGGTTGAATTATGAAGACATTCTACCATTATTGTTTTAATTTAAAAACATGGCAATCGATCCAACGAAGACTTAGGTCAAAACAGTTTTTTATTCTTTCGATATCTGACGTAGGAAAACCGTTCCTATATTCTTCTTACAGTCTATAATGGACATAGTCCTTTGATTCCTTGCAACTTTAGAAAAAATTTAAAGACCATGCTCTTGTAGAGTGACACAACTGTTTGATATTCTAATTGCTTTGGACAGAGGTGATGCGGTAGTCAAGCGATTGTAGGTAAAAATATTTTGATTATCGGCCTCATCATCGAATGAAACTTCTACACTGTAAAGTCGGGAATTATTTTTTTAGAAAATGCTCGGCGATTTTCAAAAAGTCCATATATAAAATCCTCACGGATTTTCCAGATTATAGAAAATCGAATTTCCAATAATGTGGAAACTCGACATTGATTTTCTACATTGTTGGAAATTATTTATAGAAAATCTTCGGCGAATTTCCGTCTAGAAAATCCTCAGGGATTTTATGTATGGACTTTTCGAAAATCAAAACGTCGGATTATTTTCTACTTTCTAGAAAATCGCTGAGGATTTTCTAGATGATGAAGAAGAACAATTTGAATGAGAATGCTGATAATCAGAGACTTGCGTGAAAATGGCTGAAGATAAACTTTTTCATCATTATTAAAAGCTATTGAACTTCAAAGTTGAGTGGGTGTATTATTCCAGCTTATTGGATGACAATATGAATCTTTTTTACTAATGAAAACCAAATCCGAACTCGCTCACGTGTTGAACGACTGTTATTTTATTTAAAAAATAAAGAAAATAAATATGAATTGTTAGGATCATGTCTTTGAGTTAGTAGAACCAACTACATTTTTGGAAGATGCTAAATTCAGACATAAAAATGAAGAATATTAGCAAGAGCAAATCGCTTTGCGATCTTCAGAAAGTTGTAGTAGAACTCGACTTTGTCTTAACCTTGCAACCCAAGAACCTTTTCAATACCTCTTTGTGATCTCCAAGTGTCATACAGCAACAATACTTCTCGAAGAATATGCTGGTTTGTAAAAACTGAGAGAACTTTCCGAAGCTATTAACATTTCCGATGTTAAATACTAAAACGAGCAGAGATCCGTTACACGACAACTTGTTGCACTGTATAGGCTTTAATAGATGTGAAAGAAGCAAGAACAAAATCACTGAGCCGTCTTCGTAGAAAATCGAACTCGATTTTCCAACTATTTGTTTTTATAGCTTTATTCTGTTTGTTTAATTTTTTTTTTGGTATGTTTTTGGTGTTCTGTTTGTTTCCAACTATTTAGAAAATTGCTGTCGAATTTCAAGAATGTTGGGATTTATTTATAGAAAATCGAGTCGTTTTTCTACAATGTTGGAAATTATTTATAGAAAATCGCTGTCGATTTTCCAACTTTTTAGAAATTCCTTATCGAATTTCTGGCAAACGAGAAAAGTCAATTTATAGAAAATCGAGCGGATTTTCTATAAAGTAGAAAATCAACATTTTCTAAATAGTCAGAAAATCGTTGAGGATTTTATAAAAGTTGGAAAATCCTTGGCGATTTTCCAGATCGATTTTCTATAAAGTAGAAAATAATTCCAAATTACAGTGTACATATTTCCCTTCATCACTGCTCTACGTCTAAAGAGCTACACTTAAACATTGTCTGTGTTATGTACATGGTTTGATGTTTTATTACCAGTAGCATGTAGCCGTTTCGGTTACCTTCACTGTAATGTATGTCTTTTAAACGGTCACAGGATGAAATAAGAACTAACCTGTACGTTGAAACCCTTTTAACGGCTCAATGTTAAAATCCTTTGTCCACATAAATTCGTCGTCTAAATCCAATGTAAAATGCTCTAAATTCTTTATGCATTGGAACATGTATTCTTTGAATAGTTGAAGGTGATGTCTGCCTTTTATCGTCCGTTTCATCCAGAAAAATATTCAAAATTAACCAACCATTAGCGGACAAACCGCATACGTATTCGACAGATCTTTTCAAGCTCTATCCGATGAAGTGGTTCTCATTGAGATTAAAAGCCATCTCATGGTAAATTATACAGCTACTGTATTTTCCAAATTTTTCAATGAAGCCGAGTGGCTAGATCAAATCTGAATGGTGATTTGGATGACCCTTGAAGTTCTCTATCAAATGAAGTATGCGTTAAAATATTGCTAAAAAATAGTATAATTTACTTTACGAAAAAAACGCCTAAAAAACAAGCAGAAGCACATTTCTCTAGATTTTCTGATGCCTGTAACTTTGCAACGAAAAATCATGGAGAGCTGTGCGCCGCTTCATTTTTTTCAGAATTTTATGCTCTTTTAGGTGGCTATATTGAAAATATTTTTAGCAAAATTCTCTTGGACTTAGAGCTTCGCTGGAGGGGTTTTCTAGAAAAATTTCTTGAAAATCTTATTTCTGGAATTTTAACGCATACTTCATTAGTAGAGAACTTCAAGGGCTATCCAAATCACTATTCAGATTTGATCTAGCCACTCGACTTCATCGAAAAATTTCAAAAATACAATGGCTCTATAATTTTTTCTAGTACTGTATGCCATCCTACGTCATGCAATTCCGTGCAGTATGTACTCAAACTTTGAAATACGAGAAAAGTCGTCTTTAAAA